CATCTTCATCCCTTCATACAACACATGTGTCCACTAGGAAGGCATGCACTGCTTGGAGAGGGTAGCAGAGCTCCCTAACAGCTAATATAGATTACAGAAAAATAACATTCCTTAATAACTTTGCAAACCTCTGAGAATAATGTCTGTTCTATTGCCTGGTGGGATAGATTTGCACATTGTTTACAGTCACAGTAATTTATAATCTTTAGTGTCATGTGTTGCCAGATACGAAATACTAAACCAAACAATTTAAGTGGCTATTGCTTAACTAAACTTACAAATAAAAGAAGAACCTGCAAAGGAGAAAAGTAAAACAATCATCTTTCCTGCTGCACTGAAGAGCAATCAGCAGGTCAAGTTTCTCCTGTGTCACCCAACTGCACTTACCAGTTCCTCCTGCCAACCACTAAAGAGCACAGCAACGTATGGCATGCGGGCTGCTATTTACTTTCTCCTTTGCAGCTACGGCTGTTATTTGCAAGTTTGTTTAAGCGACAGTCACTTTAAAGTCCCCCCAAAAAAGCACTCTGAAAGGTTTATAATCTCTAAAAGGTTTTTATTGCGTCTTTGTCTCATGAAGATTTCCGCTTATATCCTATTTGACAAATGTCAGACAGACGAGTAAAAGGGGGGGAATTGGCTTAAAGGAGAACTATGGGGTCAGGGCTTTTCCCCATAGTTCTCCTTAGGGTAACGGGAGGACACAAACTAGCGTCCATAGGTGATGCCTCTTGATGGGATCATCTTTTTCCTTCCACTTATTTTCAGCAATCCCTGGAAGCGCTGGTGCCAGTCTCTGATCCAGCGCAGAATGCCTTTTCTTCCTGTCCTACGCCATCTGTCTGACCTGCACGCTCCCAGCTGCGTGCATTGGCTTTGATTGTAGCTCTCCTTCTCTCCCCATTGGTGAACTTCACTGCACATGCACCCGCACTCATCCTCCCGCATGGCAGTTCGGGGAAGCTGGATTCTGCAGCCAGGGGGTGAGCAGCAGAGACACAGGTAAGTTTTTACCTATTTGGTAACTTTATTTTTTTTAATGTTTTTGTATACATCTACCACTTGCTAGCAGTAGATATATTGGGGGGGAAAAAAAGAAAAGACTGTCACTTTAAGACAAAAATCTCAGACAGAAGATCATGTTTTTAATGTTAAATTGAATCACTTCCTTTTTTTTATTAAATTCCCTTTTATGCATTGTCCTTGGTTCTTGTCCTTGAAACTCAAACTTTTTTTTTATTATTGTTTTTAGATGGAAGTTCTAAACCTTCCTCACTCTATGTTATTACAAGTGTGGACCCATTGGTGAGACTTCCCCCTCCCTTTTTGGGGATACAATAGGCGTAGGAGACAATCTCCCCACAGTAATTCCCACTTGTGCTGTATGTGGAAAAGGCGTCCCCTGTTCTCTTCACCTCCAGGTGACTAGGTATATTTTTGGATTTTTCTTCACTCCCTCTCCTGTGACATTTCTCACCGGGGAAACGTAAGGGTTAAGCTCCCCAACAGTGACACAGATGTAATAAAACCTGATATAGCTTCTAACCATTCTCTACTCTATCAAAAATAAATGTTTTGGCTGGAGTTACACTTTTTTTTCCTTATTGCTCTCATATTTGAATAGGCCAACCATCTTCAAAAACAGATCAAGTAAAGCACAAAGACACTACTTCCAGTCTTGGGGGGCAGGGAGAGGCACTGTATACCACCACTACACCTTGGTATACGTGTATGAGAACAGGACTCTAGAGGTATAAAGTGATACCAGTCGTGTAAAATAACACTTCTTCCTGCAGTGTGTACCAGTCCGATTCTAGATGTGTTTAATAATGAAACATGAGAGGTTAGAGGAAGGAAAGGTTAAAAGCTTTCCAAGTACACTCTAGGCACATGAGAATGCTGAATTTTCCTGACTCAAGGAACAGAGCCTAGCCACTCCAAAGCTTCTCTGTAATCCTTCCATCTATTTAAGCTGGTTGTCCTGCTACACAAATCCATATACGTGCTCCACTCAATGAGTGGCTGCAAAGATACAAGATTAGGCGTGTATTTATAAAACAAGTGAACAGCTCTGCTGATGTCTTTTTTCAGATTTGCACCACATTATGGCCACTAGATGGAGCCAAGGAGCAGATTTCTTCTACTCCTTGGCGCCATCTAGTGGCCATATTGTGGTGCTACGATGTTTGCAGAGTGAAAAGCTCTGCGCATTTTTTATAAAAACACCCCTAAGTGCTCACCCAGCACTGCCTTCTGTATTTTACAGAGCAGACTGATGCAGCCATCATAGAAGATCTGCAAAAACATATTGCTTCTGGCCACAATGTATTAAAAAAAAAAAAAAAGACTGGCAACTGATGGAACTTACTAATCTTACCTGTTGCTTCAACCTAAAAGGTCATGAACACAAACTACGGAACTTCAGCAAAATATACAGAAGCTCCAGAATGACATACTTCGTTTACATGAAGTGGAAAACCACAGAGCAGTCACCCAAGCTGGTGGTACACGTTTCCACATTTCGGCAGGAATTGTTGAGGAATGCGAGGTCTCACATCTATATGGGCAATAGTGGAGCAAACTATTACATTTCATCGCACAAAACCCATGACCCTAACTGGATTCCACCATCAACCTCTTGGTTTAATACTGCCCACCTCCTTTGCGCCAAATACTGACAAACTTATTTTCTCAAAAATGATTTGGCGCATATCACACAACATGTTGCACTTTGGCTTTTCTTAAACATCTCACTAAACTTATCAACTTGAACAATTAATTGGCACATTCCAAAAATCAGTGTTCCGTGAGCCAAGTTTTTGGTGCACCCTCATTTGCTCATTAGGCCCAGTGACAGCATCACTATCAGCTGCATTCCCTGCACAGGTATTCTGATAGCCGCTGCTGCTGCCTGATTACAATAGCCACTGCAGCCAAACAGGAAGTACCCCAACAACTTTCAAGCTGCATTTCTCTCATTAAGCCCGGGTGAAGGGAAATTGTTTCGGACTCCTGAAACGCATAGACTACTCTACTCGCATGGCCCGTGCCCTTAATGTAATAATGCGGTATGTGAACTATTAGGTCCCTTTCACACAGGCTGATCAGAAGGGGGATCTATACATGGATCCTCTCCTGATCGGAGCGGTAAGGATCGGATGTCACCTCTGTCACATCCATACAGTTTATTCCTCCATCTTGCGATATAGGAATAAAAAAACTTTAGTGACTGGACCCAATGTCGGTGTGCTGGCAATCGGATGTGAATGGACATGTGTCTGTTTACATCAGATTACCCCCGTTCCAGCACAATTGGGTCTATCAAAATGGAACACTGTTCTGTTTCGGTTTGCATTTCCCGACCTGACCAGAGTCCGTTTACACACGGCTGCCCATAGACTTGCATTGGGCGTCTGATCTGGGGTGTCTGAAATACTGACAGGCAGACCCGATCAGACTGCCCATGTGAAAGGGTGTGACACTTCCATTCCTACATCCAATGCTAATACAATGGCTGGCAGGGAAGATTCCATGCACAGGCTACTTCATACTTTTTGATGATGTGAAGAGTGTCATGTGATAAACAGCCTGGACGTGGCAACGACTGAAATCTAACATGTATGGCTGGTCTCACCAAGCACTGGTCACCTTTCTGATGACACAATGAGCCTGACTAGTCGTTATGGGTAACAGATTCAGTCACAATAGGGGGAGCTCTATCTGGAGCAGTTGCCCATAGTAACCAATCAGCTTCTCTCATCAGTTAAGCTTTGGAAATAAAAGAAAGAATCTGATTGGTTACTAGGGGTAACTGCTCCTTTTTGTGTCTTCTCCAGTTTTGCTAATTTCCTCTCATTGTATACATAGTGAGGGGAATGTATCAAAACTGGAGCAGACAAAATCACAGCAACCAATCAGCTTCTCTGTCTCATGTTCAAATCTTACCTGAGCAAACTGAAGAGAGCTGAACTGCTCCAGATGTTATCTGCTCCAGTTTTGATGAATCTCCCCCCCCCCTCCCCATATGAATCGCGGCAAAATCCGCTCCAAAAAGGGTCCTGCTGTAGCGACACACGAAGCGGGATATCGCGGGAATTACCGCGCGATAAATCGCTCAATGTGAACGGGGCCTAAACGGGAACAGAAGTAGAGCAAAAGCAAGCAATCAGATTTCATCTTCTAAAACACATAAAAAAGGGGGAAGGTGACCGGCTTGCATGGCTAAGAACTCCAAATGTCTTGTGCAGATCAGGCCGGCGATCAGCAGGCACATAGTCCAAGTATTTGTAGCTAATGATTAGAGGTCAGAAGAGAACATGGCACCCCGCCATAAGAACAGACCGGGATCACTTTTCAATCACTGGCATCACCAACAAGCTGAGCCATATGGCAGCCACGTCTGCCGGGTTCTCCTGCACAGGACACACAAACACAATTGTTGTCTATGGGCATGTGCGAGAAGACACAGATCAATGGACATAGTGGGGACAAGACTTTAATATTGATAACAAATCTGAATATCAGAATGACAGTTTTTGCCGTGTATCAATCACATGATTGCCATTGTTTGTTGCATATCAGCACACTGCTGACCTCCTGCAGCCTCTTTCTGCCTACATCCATGTATTGCAGCCATGGCTGTATATCATCACTCATGCGCGGGATGCCGCAAAGGTTACAGCACTGGACCTGCCTGCATAACTTGAGTCAGAAACCCATGTGACTACTCAGAATCCCAACTAGGCAACAGGGACAGAGCGTTGTCACCCAATTACAGGAAGTGCCTAAATGAAATGGATTATTTTACTATTAAAAATAAGAAAGCAAATTTAAAAGTACTGAAAGTGACATGTAAGATCGCAAAGGCGGTTTCTGGCTGATAAATGAATGCAGGGAGCTGGCTGGGAGATGTGGCACAGCCCCAGGCTGCATTCTTGTACACATGGGGAGAGGACTGTGTCCTGCTCACACATGCATTGTAAGAAGTGGCGCGCTATTACCTCAGTGCCTTCTCCTCCAGCTTCTGCTTCTTAGCCTGGGGTTCTTCTGATGCCACCTTCATGCTGCCCGCCGGGAGATACGTGCCAAAGTCTAGGGAAGAGCTGACTGTGCAATGCTACTCTCTACCAGCCGGTACAACGTGCTCCGTTCCTGCACTACCACAAGAGTCTGCACCCTCTCCGGCTGTCCCCTCCCCCTGTCTCTTCTCACTTCCCTCGCTGCCCTCCTCACGCTGCTTTACCAACACGCGCGGCACCGCCCCTTCGCATGCCTTGCCCGGACCTGGTCGCCTAGCAACCTCTTTGGGGCGCTACTAAGTTATTAGTAGTCCCTGTAGGTGCCTGTTTTGCTGGATGTCTCCGCGTCTAGTGTTGCCTTCATTAGAAACCCTTATCAAATGTCACGCATTGGTACGGCACGTGACGAAAACATGACACCTCTATTTGTATAAAACTGTGTATGGACTTTGAAAAGTCGTGTGTGGTGATTCGTTATCTGAAAATAGCATCTTCCGGTGTGTAGCGGACTTATGACGCTAATATGCTGGCACTGGAATTGCTCAACTACTTCTGCTGTGCGAGAACGCTTGGTACAAATTGCTAAGTTTTCATTAGGCAGTGGTGAGGACGCAGCAGTGGGGCGGGGCCTGGCCGCCATCTTTGTTGGGGCAGAGCTGTATGGATGATGTGTCAAGAGGCTTAGCAGGGTCCTCACTTCCTACTGATTCCTATTGATTGATTTCGGTAATTTATCGCCTCTTACTCAGTGTGTGTACATGTGCTTTTTATGTGACCTCATTGAATGTGTCGTGTTTGTGTGTCTTACAATAGAAATTGTGTTTTAGTGATTAGGAAATAAGTGACTTTTAGCTCTGGACAAAGGGGGAATAGTTGCAGAGTTGTTTTTATTAGTTGTCAGACCCGAAATCAATGGATTCTGGGTTACAATGTTCTTTGAAGTTTCTAGAGGTTTTAGGTGAATCAGCCCGGTCTGTTTAGAACAGAACATGAAATGAAATGTACAGTATAATTCAGGCAAGATTATTGATATATTGCTTACAATGTTTGTATAGCCAGTATTTTTTGTTTTTGTTTTGTTTCATATGAAGTAGAGAAGGGTTAAACCTCATCAGATAATTTTTTGCTATTTTGTACCATTGGGAAAATTTCCCTTCACTTCCTGTCCCACAGATGCAACAGGAAGTTAGAGAAGATCTCCCAAAGTGTGGGAGATTCTAATCCTAGGGCTCCTGCAGAGGTGCGCAAAAATGCTGCGTTCACATGTGTAAATTTTCATGCACATGGATGCTACAAAATTTCAGATGTGTAATATGTAAAACTCCGGGCATCAATATTCGTAACCGTTACATTGGGGCTACCCCTGCACTGCAAGGGTTAAAGGAGAGCTATGGGGTCGGGGCTTTTCCCCATAGTTCTCCTAAGGGTAATGGGAGGACACAAACTAGCGTCCTCCCGTCAACCAAAGCTCAGTATACCGCGAGCTACAGCTCACGGTATACTGAGACGCCGCAGCCGGGACGGATCCCGACAGTACTGTCGAGATCCACCCAGCTGCGTGAGTGACAGCTGGCTCTAGACGCAGAGCCAGCTGTGCCTGCCCCCTCCCCCGTCCGTTCAGGCCAGTCAGTGCTGGATGATCGGACAGGGGAGAGGGGGGGAATTCCTGCAGGGAGCCGTGAGCGACAGTCACGGCTCCCTGCAGGGACAGGTTTGAGAAGTGAGAAAGCGACAGTATGTGTTCGCTCACTTCCCGATCTATTGAGCCGACCTGTGACATTTTCATTGTCACAGGTCGGCTAGAACTATGAGGTGAGTGATTTTTACTCGCCTCATAGTTCTCCTTTTTAAGTTCTTGTTTTCCTCTAGTGATGAAAATAAAAAGTTATACTCACCTGTACCTCAGAGCTGGCTGGCTGTTAGACTGGTCTGTCTGTGCAGGCTCTCACCCCATCCACTCCCGCTGTGGAGTGTCCCTCGGTGTCCTCATGTCCTATACACTGTGGGGGGAATTTATCAAATCTGGAGCAGATTTGCACTGCAACCAATCAGCTTCTCTGTCTAATTTTCAGATCTTACCTGAGCAAACTGAACAGAGATGCTGATTGGTTCTCATGGGCAGCTGCTCCAGATTGTTTCTGCTCCAGTTTCGATAATTCCCCTCAGTGTATAGAACATGATGACTCACTGGACCTTAGACGGCTGGAGTGGAGGGGGAAAGAGGTTGCAGGGACTAGTCTAGCTCCGAGGTTCAGGCGACTATAACTTTTTTATGTTTATCCCTAGATGAAAGCAAACACTCATTGCTCCCTTTCTGTCCAGGAATGAAAATGTCATTATCTATTACCACCTGTTCCTGATTGACACTACAAATGCCCATTGCGTAGTAACGGTCCACCACTGACACTATCGGAAAACCAGTTCAGTATAGTGCGGGCTCCACTGGAGGAAGTTCAGGTAGACATAAAGTGGGTGGAGGAGATCAGCAGCACTAAGATGCAAACAAAATGAAAAAGGTAAAAACTGACAGCAGCAGGTCTCGCCCCAATGAGGTGAGACCAATCAGCGTGGTACTCGATCATGTAATCACTATGACAACCAATCATGGTAATCACATCTCAAACCTGCTCATTCTCTCTCTCCCAGCCC